TCATGAGTGATTCAGTATTGGAATGGGTCTCATCATACATGACTAGACTTTCATTTCTAATAGGTAGATAAAGGATATTTAACAAATTTCTTGTCCTTGACCCAAAAAATAGAGTATAGTTGACCTTCTATATTTGTGAATTTGACCTTTGCAATTTTTTAAATTATTTTCAGATTTGATTAAAATATTTTTTCAAGAAATTTCAGTTGTAACGATTTGTGAAGATGTCACCAATTTGTGATGAGGCCACTAATTTATGAAGAATTTGTAAAGGAGCCATCCATTTGTAAGGGTTTATTAATTTGATAGCGTAGCTAATAGCTAGTGATATTGACTTGGTCTTTCTTTAATGTGTAGCGTGACTTAGCTTGGAAAGGAATTGTAACAGAGACCGACCGGGCTTTAGAAAAAAATAGTAACAAGTTTATTGAAATGTAGAAGGAGCGTGATGGTTTCAATGTAACTTAACCCTTAGAGGCACATCTCTTCATAGGTTACATTTGTAACATTTCTTAAACAGCTCTGGAAAGGACTCTTTCTTTTACTAAACAGGTTTCAAACTTATTTTTCTTCATACTGTGTTTCTTTCCTTAATAGATTACTTCAGTTACAAGCTTATTCTTTCTTTGTGATGTTTCTGTTGCAATAGAGACTCTCACTGGGTTTCTCTCACCCTTTCTCTCATACACTAACCATTGATATAAATAAGTCAACTCGACTTATCTAAACTACTCAGGCTAAAAGCCAAAACCTTCCTGATTCTCACTACTATAGCATCAGCCTTTCCCTGTAGTTTTTAAACTACAGATTACCTTCCTGGTTCTCACTACTACAGAACCAGCCACTCTTACAGTTCACAGACTGTAGACTAACTTACTGGTTCTCACACACACTAGAACCAACCTCTCCTGTAGTTCGCTGACTACAGACTAACTGTTTTAAAATGGCTGCCCTGCCAAGTGGCAGTTGGCTCAGCCCTTGTTTCCATGGTAACCCAACCCAACATGAGCTGAGCTGGCCACCATCCCCCCTAGTTATGTAACTTTTAAATACCCTTTAAAACATCTATCTATAATCATACATAACTGCAAGTTAAAAAATTTACACTTCACCACACTGGTCACCTAGAGTGATATTTGCTGGAGTAAGGAAGCAACTGGAGAAGGGAAAGGGGAAAGGGGAGATGATTCCTCCTCTTCCCCTCTCGCTCTGGTGCACTGGCAGGCATTAGCCCAGGCAATGAGAGATTGATACTAGCCATGTCATGCTGCTGGTTTCCCCAACAATTAGAACAGAGTGGACAGTCAGCATGGTTCATCGGTGGTTAAGGACTCCCTCCTGCCACTGTGGCCGCTGGGGCTGTGGTAATCTAAATCATCTGGCATTCACTACCCTGGATCAGTCCTGGGATGTGTAGTGAGTGGAGATCTGCCCCTGGGTCTATTTTCAATATGACATTTGCCTCCATGAAGAAAGTAAAGAGGGAATCATCCTCGCCTCCTGGGGAAAGATTCCCAAAGCCTGAGATCAGCCAAGGAGAAGGAAGATACATGCTTTTGGACAGCCTGGACGCAAGTCATAGTTGTCCTGGCTCCATGTTGGGCATGTTCAAAAGCATATTTTCATGGGAAGAATAGGAAAAAGTAAAGTGATATACATCCAGTCCTCTGGGTGCACAAATACAATCATCCATAAGTTTACCTATTTTAAAAAATTCTAAAAACAACATTTGATTTTGTTTCTTTATATAGAGGATACCATTTTACTACACTATTGTTGTTTATTTGTTCAGTCGCTTCCAACTCTTCGTGACCTCATGGAACAGCCCATGCCAGAGAAATGGGCAATACAACATTATTTAGGCTTCATCTGGGGTGCACAATAATGAGGGGTCACTTCTAGTTTCATGGGTCCAAACAAAGGTCACAACATTAGAAAAGAGAACATGTCATGGCCAGATAAATAGAGCAAAGGAAGTTCCTATAAGTATTAAAAGGCCAAGGAAGCAGAAGGACTGACATTTCAAAAGGAAAGAAAGGATTATGGGGTATTAGAGGGACTTTAGTATATGTTTGCTGTTGCTAGTATGTTTGCTAATGAGAAAGTAAACAAATAGTTCAAAGTGTCGTAGCTGTCAAGCTGGATATCCATCTGGCTATTGGGTTGAGTACAATACATTATAGGGTTAGCTGAAAGAAAAGGCTTTTTGTATTGTTTAGTTTGCTGATAATGCTTATCTGTGCTCCATTCATTTCTATTTTAATTACTATTATTACTACTACACATACCATTGCTCATTGTCTATGATGAGGTTCTTGTAGAGACAATCATGTTAATCCATTTCATACCATCGCTATCTTGGCATGTTGTGCATTTATGTTATATTCTGTTTCTGTTCTATATTACTTCTTTTTTATGTCCGTATAATTATTGGACTCCCCATGCATCTGAAAAAATAAGCTGTGGTTCACAAAGGCCTGGCTGAAATACACAAATAAATTTGCCCTAAAACTCTTTCTTTTTCAAATATTATTTTGCATTGACAGTAGATGAATCTCAGGTATCAGATTTTTTTTTCCATGTCAGGATCGACTTGAGAAACGACTTGCAGGTATCAGATGACTATCTGTGTTTAAACTAGAGTTGGGAAGACCTGGAAAAAACCTGGAAAAAAGGGTGGGGGGGGGACACAGATTTTTTTTCCTGTTTTTATTTGTCCTTCCCCTCCATTTTTCCTTTTTTTCAATTTTTACATTTCCCTCTCCATTTTTCCTAACCACCCTTTCCCCCCAGGTTTCCTATCTCTAGTTTAAAAGCTGAAGAAAGTTCTGGTTATAGTATTGTTCTTGGAATTGTCAGGAAAACTAACAGGGACCACAAAGTGAAATAAATTAGATATTCCCGTACAATAGTGTTTCTCAACCTTCCTAATGCCATGACTCCTGAATACAGTTCCTCATGTTGTGGTGATCGCCAACCATGAAATTATTTTCATCGCTACTTCATAACTGTAATTTTGTTACTGTTATGAATTGTAATGTAAATATCTGATATGCCGGATATATTTTTATTCACTGGACCAAATTTGGCACAAATATCCAATATGCCCAAATTTGAATACTGGTGGGGTTAGGGGGGATTGATTTTGTCATTTGGGAGTTGTAGTTGCTGGGATTTATAGTTCAACTACAATCAAAGAGCATTCTGAACTCCACCAATGATTTTTTTGTGTGTCAGCAGTGACTTGAGAGATTGCAAGTAATTTCTGGTATGAGAGAACTGGCTTTCTGCAAAGATGCTGCCCAGTGGATGCCCAGAAGTTTTGATGTTTTACCATCCTTGTGGGAGGCTTCTCTTATGTCCCCATATGGGGAGCTGGAATGGACAGAGGGAGCTCATGCGTGCTCTCACTGGATTCAAACCTCCGACCTGTTGGTCTTCAGTCCTGCCTGCACAAGGGTTTAACCCATTGTGCCACCAGGGACTCCTCCACCAACGATGGAGTTCAACCAAACTTGGCACACATATCTCCCATGACCAACAGAAAATACTGTAAGTGTTTGGTGGTCATTGATCTTGAGTTTTGGAGTTGTAGTTCATCTACATCCAGAGAGCATTGTGGACTCAAACAATGATGGATCTGGACCAAACTTGGTACAAATACTCAATATGCCCAAATATGAACATTGGTGGAGTTTGGGGAAAATAGACCTTGACATTTGGGAGTTGTATTTGCTGGGATTTATAGTTCATCTACAATCAAAGATAATTCTGAACCCCACCAACAATAGAATTGAGCCAAACTCTCCACACAGAATCCCCATGACTTGAAGGGACTTGTTGAAATTAGCCTCCCTCCCACTGCGCATGCTCTACCTCATCTGCATATGTGCACCACGCTGCTATGCGCGGAGCACGCCTGCTTTCCCATCCCCATCCCCGCCAAGGGGTGGGCTTAGAAACAGCCCACCCCTTGGCTGAGAGGTGGATTGAAAGGCTGACCAATCTTAGTGTAGGAGGGCTTTTGGTGGGAGGATTCGCCATATGTTTCCAAAAAGGAAGAGAAGAACAGGTGGAGAGATCTTCAGCCTTATCTGCCAAAGGGTATCCTAAGACCATCAGAAATATCTGATGGTCTTTGGCAACCCCTCTGAAACTCCCTCATGACCCCGCCCCCCAGGGATCCAGACCCCCAGGTTGAGAAACGCTGCTGTACCACATATGCCAGCACTAATTGATTTTCTCTGTGTGAAAAATTGTTTTGAAATTTCATTTAACATGGTTGAGAACTGCATTCATTCAAGAAGAAACTGGCTTACATTGCTGTTTGCTTTTGGTACAATTATCATGTCAATCTCCTTGATCAAAGTTTATAAAAGTTGAGTGTGCTTGTGTCTGAGCTCTTAGACTGAGTAATTATGACTCAAACAACTCTGTCCTAAGTCTATTATACATTTCATTCCTTATATTCCTACATGGAAGGGAGTTTGACAGCCATTATGGGACTCTTTTATGATCATATCTGATCTGAGCTGTCTATATGATTTGATTTTTCAAACGTTAGATGTAGTTTCTGACTTTTAAAAGACATAGTAATTTTACTGTATACAAAATGGACAAATCATTAAACAAAACATCTGGTAGAAAATGTCGGTCTGGCTACATATATTGTTTACATTTCTTTTGTTCATCAGTCCTAGGAAATCAGAAGGTTCAAATTGTTGTGGTTCTTTTTGCTATTGCTTGGGAAAATCCCAAATGCTGCTCTAATTCGCTTATTTCGGGTAGTTCAGAAATGCATTGTTTGTATGGCAAGATTAGAGTATACAAATGCATGTTTGATTTATTTATGACCCTCTTTAAAGATTTCCTTGGATTAATAACATGTTTACCTGCCAGAGCAATAACCCCTGTCACCATAAAACACACAGAGTGAAGGTGAGGTAGATTCTCTCTCTCTCTCTCTCTCTCTCTCTCTCTCTCTCTCTTTCAGTATGTGTGTGTGTGTGCAATTGCATAAATAGCCCTCTGTGCTATTATTTCTGCCAAGGTGAGAATGGCAGAAGGAAAGATGCAGCTAAATCAATGGCAACTTGTAACGGTTGTGCTACTATTGCATGGGGTGGAGGGGACCCAGGTAAAGCTCAACAATGGTGGGTTTGAAGACATTGTCCTTGCAATTAACCCTGGATTATTGGAAAACACCAAAATGATTGAGAATATAAAGGTAAGATTACTAAATGCTTTTCCTATCCAAGTTGAGTTTCCTGAAGTGTCCAGAAGTGTTCCCCATTTTAAATTGTTTTCAGAGTTTGGAAAACTTGCATGTATATTGATGAGATACCGGAAAGATTGGACCCCAATCTAAACATGAAATTCATTTATATTTCATATGCACTTCATACACATCTCCTAAAGATAATTTTATGCACAATATTTTAAAAATAATTTTGTCCATGAAACAAAGACCACCAGAAAGCAAAGTTTTGACTAAATCAACTACCCATGCAGACAATTTTGAAATATTTTGGGTTTTGGAATTTTGAACAAGGGAAGTTCAATCTGTGTTAATGTAGCAATTTAGTTATAATTAAATTATAATATCCTAGAAGAAAAATTAGGCATTCTGTAACCATATATGCCCTCTTTAGTGGGACACTGGAAATCCTCTACTAAAAAGAAGTACCTAAACAGCTTTTCCCTTATTTTCAAAGAAATTGACTATAGGTCCGCCTGCTTCCAGGATTCTGTTGTTCATTCCCCCTCCCCTTTTTATTTTTCTTCTGTTGTTTATGTATCTAACATTCATTCCATGGTGTTAGAAACATAATGAAATAAACAACAGAAGAAAAATAACAAGGGGAGAGAGAAATCCAGTTCGAATCCGGGAAAAGCGGATTGAGCTCCCTCTGTCAGCTCCAGCTCCCCATGTGGGGATGTGAGAGAAGCCTCCCACAAGGGAAGGCAATGTCCTTGCAGACGGCCAATTCTCTCACACCATAAGCGACTTGCAGTTTCTTAAGTTGCTCCTGAAAAAAATTCCATTGTGCATCAAAACAACTGGTGTTCATATTTTATTTGGGGGTTAGGGAGGGAGTCCTATCTCCTTATGATTTTAGTACTAAAGTTTATTTTGATTTCTGTAAACTTGAGCCAGCTCAAAATGAAACAGCAACAGAATCAAGATCATATCAAATCTGAAGAGACTGAGGACCTCATCATACACATGAACCCTACCCCTGTTTCACCAGCAATTGCCAGCGAAATGGCAGGCATGTGGGGTTCCTTGCAGTACCCCGCACACCCGCTCTCCTTCCCCAATCACATGTGAGGAATGGGACAAGGCACATTGCCTCCCTGTCCCCATCAGATGCAGGAAAGGGCAACAACACACATTGCTGCATTGCCCTTTCACCATCAGATGGGGAAAAGGGTTAACAATGTGGGTAGCAATGTTCGAGCTACTTGAAAAACAATTTACCTCTCACCATTGGCAGGGAAGCATCTTGTGGCATTTCCTCACCAATAATAATAATAATAATGATAATAATAATAATAATAATAATAATCTTTATTTATATTCCGCTCTATCTCCCCAAAGAGACTCAGAGTGGATTCCAAACATAAAAGGCAAACATCTAATGCCCGAGTACAACAACAATACATCATACTAACAAAATTTATACATGTAAATATGAATTATAACTTAACAAACTAAAATTAAATAAAAAGCACAGCCTGTTATAACAGACATAAGACCATCAATGTGGTGAATCAAAGCCAGTTTTATGTGATGGCGCTTGGCAGGTCTCGTCCCCAAAGAATAGCAAGGAGCCAAAAAACCCATGTGTGATAAGGTGGTAAAATGAGAGATTAAGGACCCCTCAGTTAAAACAAAGACATTTATATATTTGTTTGTTTAATAAATATGCAGTCTTTCTCCCAGCACAGGAACTATTGTGGCTAACAAAAAAAATTAAATTAAGCATCACAGTAATATATCATTAAATTGATTAAGAGCAAAACAGTTGTTTAAAGACACAACATTAAATGATCAAAAATAGATAGTCTTCCTGTAATCAACTAATATTGAACTAATTTGAATGAAAAGGACTTTGCCTCCTAGCAAAAGGAGAGCAAATATGGGATCAGCTTAGCTTCCCAGGGAAAGGAATTCCATAGATTGGAAAATAGTCACCCAAGAAGCCTTTCTCCTTTGTCCTCAACATGCGTGCCTATGATCATTGGACCTCATCACATGAGACTTGGGCTTCATCCTAGGAAGGAGCCCAGGACAGAGCCCACTGGAGTCCAATACATAGGGCCACTTCTGGCAGGGCTCTGTCCTGGAAGCATCTTAGGACTGAGCCCAGCAAACACAGACTTTCCATGTTCTCATTACTTAGAATAAGGCCAGAACATGCAGACAGGAAGGGAGGGGGAGCTGGGTGGTAACGCTTTCCCCCATGTGATGGGGAAAGGGGTGATGTGGGTGATGCAGGGAATGAGACTATGATTTCCCCGCTGCCCCACAGATTCATCACGCTGCCAAATGAATTCCCCCTTTGTGCTCATGTTTGTGACCTCCATGTGACAAGGTCCTATAATGGGACCAAGATAAAGCTTTCCCATGAAAATCTCAAAACTTAGGCAGACTTAAATATAGAGAATTGTTTTTAGATAATCTAACCACAGGCTGTATAGGGTTTTATAGATCTTGGACATTAAAAAAAAACAATTTAAGTCCATATGTATGTACATTTGTCAGAAATATTTCTGTGTTTTTGCAAACTCTAGCACTGGGTTGCTCGGTGCAGTTTTCACCAATAGAGCTGGTCACTTCCAGCTCTAAATTCTGTTGCAAGAGAGGACATAGAAGAATTTAGTATGTGAGTGTACTTGTGTGTGTTTGTGTGCAAAAGGCAATTTCTTTAAGTGATAAGTCAGTCAGGAACAGATACTCCAACTTTTTCACTTACACACAAATGCTTTAAAGGCAGCATGCAGGATTTCCAGCCAAACAAAAGATGGAAGGGGGAAATTATCTACCCTTCCATAAATGTGAAACACAAATCCAAGCTACACACCTACCTGAACACATATCTAAAACCCATAATTTGTGTTTTCTTTTATTTTTTTCCTGTTAGGATATGATTGAAGAGGCTTCTTCTTACCTCTTCAATGCTACGAAGCAAAGATTCTATTTCAAGCGTGTCAGTGTTGTCATTCCTATAACATGGACACCCAAACCTGAATACCAAAGAGTAACCAAAGAATCCTATGAAAAAGTGAGTGTAATGCACTGGTGCTATTTTTAAAAGTGTGGTTGTTTCCAGAGGTACTTAACTAAATATTTCACAATCTGTTGTGGTCCGGCAAATCAGTTTAACCTCAAAGATACATGTCATTTCTGGGTGATCTTGAAAACATCTCCCGTTTTATTTTAGGCTGATGTGATTGTGGCAGAGCCTTTTGTGAAATATGGCGATGAACCCTACACTTTGCAGTATGGCGGATGTGGGGAAAAGGGACGGTACATTCACTTCACACCTAAATTCCTGACAAGTGACAATTTGCTCAGTGTTTATGGACCACGAGGTAATACCACTTATTCAAATATCTACTTAAGGTTTTGAATGCAACTTTAATTTGAGGTAAGGAAAAGCTGAGAAACTATTAATGGCTTCATTTTATCCAGTACTCTCTCTGAAATGTCCTAAAGGAATGGATAATGTTTCCATATTATGTCAATTAGTACTTTTTAAAGCCATAACAGAAATTTTGCATACTCATGACTGGCTGTCATGAGACAAACTGGTCTCAGATGGCTGGTCCTGGGAAATGACAGCAAGGAGGAAGAGCTGCACCTATACCCTTTTTGCACTTGCTAAGCCAATCCATTCATCATCTATATATACGGAAAGCACAGTGGATGCCATTTTCTTTCAGTGCAAGTGGAAATGTGTCTTCGTTTGACCCTGACCAGGGTGAAAGTCTAATGGATTCATCACGTATCACTAACAATATTATTTGCTTTTCTTGGCTGTATCCAAGTTAATTTTCAAAGATACAATAGAGTCCCGCTATCCAACATAAATGGGCTGGCAGAACATTGGATAAGCAAAAATGTTGAATAATAAGAAGGGATTAAGGAAAAGCCTATGAGACATCAAATTACGCTATCATTTTACAAATTGAGCACCAAAACATCATGTTTTACAACAAATCGACAGAAAAAGCAGTTCAATACATGGTAACATTGTGTAGTTGTGTAGCTGGAGGGAAGGATAGTAGAGGCAAAGATGAAGTACTTTGGTCACATCATGAGAAAAAAAGGAAAGTGTAGAGAAGAAAATTATGCTGGGGAAAATGGAAGGAAAGAGGAAGAGGGACCGACCAAGGGCAAGATGGATGGATGGCATCCTTGAAGTGACTGGATTGACCTTGAAGGAGCTGGGGGTGGTGACGGCCAACAGGGAGCTCTGATGTGGGCTGGTCCATGAGGTCACGAAGAGTCAGAAATGACTGAACGAATGAACAACAACAACAAATGTTGTGTAGTAATTACTGTATTTACGAATTTAGCACCAAAACATCACAATGTATTGAAACAGTTGTGGATCTGGCTGGGAGGCAGACTGTGTTGGATAATACAGAATGTTGGATGAGCGAAGGTTGGATAAGTGAGACTCTACTGTATCTACCGATCAAAGTGTAGCTTCATCTTCCAAAATGACATAAGCAGAGCCAACTGTCCACGGCTTAGGAAAGAAGTCTTTGTTCTCAAAGATTAACTGCTTCTTAAAAGATATGTATTCTGATGTGCTGATACAGCACATCCATCTATTACATTGATGTGATGCTGTAAATTTAAATTGTGGTGGTAGAGTTGTGGGTTTTCTTTTCTTTTCTTCTTTTTTCTTTTTTTCACAGGCAGAGTCTTTGTTCATGAATGGGCTCATCTCAGATGGGGTGTCTTTGATGAATACAACTATGATGCACCTTTCTATTCAGTTGGCGAAAATGAGGCGGAAGCAACAAGGTATAAGCCTAACGGTGTATCTTCAAATGAAACAATAGTTTTTCAGGAGACATTTGCTGAGGCATGTTAATTTGGGTGTGGTGTAAAAAAAACGGCCAGGGGATTAACCATTAATTTAGTATGGAAATTAATTTAGTATGACTATGTTTTGACACAATGAGTAATTTGGCTACTTCTGCATAATTTGGCTACTTCTGTAGTTTCATGGTTTGGAATAAAACAGGACATTGAATGTGCCAGAAATAGAATAAATTGGTGTCCATGTCAGAAAAATGTCATTACAGGAACAAAGTTGGCACTATGATGAGTGTATGTAGAATGAAGTAGCACCTAATTTGCATGCCAAAAAACAGACAAACCCTGATTTCAAAGAATAAACTTCCACATAACTTCTAACTGTTATCTCACAGTTCTGTGATTTAGCATTATTGGAGAGTTTGGGAACAAGGGTTTGGGTTGTTGTAGGTATTTCGGGCTCTATGGCCATGTTCTAGAAGCATTCTCTCCTGACGTTTCACCTGCATCTATGACAGGCATCCTCAGAGGTTGGATAAACATAATCCATATTCTTGCACTCACATGATTAACCGTTTGTTACTAATGTCTTACCTCTTTTTGAAACTATCTTTTTTAGCCAAAGCAACACAGCACTAAGTAATATCAAGAGCATCGTAATGTTTTGATCTTTCACTGCCTAATTATTTCATTCTAATACATTTTAGATGTTCATCTGATTTCACTGGTAAATATATTTTTCGGACTAATGAAGGACAAATCAGAACATGCGAGATTGAAGACCGTACTCATCTTTTTGAGGCTGGATGTGAATTTATTCCAGAGGCAACACAAACTATTCCAGCATCAATAATGTACATGCAAGGTCTCAATTCAGTAAGTAGGAAAAATATCCCATGAAAGCTACTGGATTTATTTAGCCCGGTATCACTTCACAAGAATACAAAAGAGTTGTTATTTTCCCCCAAGTTAAATATACTTCTAGGCAAGTTTAGTTTGTATTTCTGCAAATTGTTCCATTTAGCTTTGAGACCTTGGACTTCATCAGAGCACTGGGAGGGGAGCTGGGGAAAGTGGAGAGAAGTGTTGGGAAGAATGGGGACTTGTCTTATCCCTGGCAAGTTCCACCCACAGGGATGGCCAGTCATCTCATATCCTTTTCACATATTCTCCCTGCTTTCTGGAATCAGGAGTTGGGTTACACCTGACTATTGAAAACAAAGTCTTCCGTCCATTTTTGTGCACTGACAAGATGGATATCCACAGGCAGCCACCCACAGGGGCTGTGTATCATGGGATGGCCTCAATGGGACTCTGTTTTGCCAGTGTGCGAAAACAGAAAGAAAACAGAGGAAAACTTCCATGGGATGAAGTCTTTTGTCTCCAAGTGCATTGCGATGAAGTGATGGGAAGGTGGAGAATGGGAAGTGGATTTAGCACAGTGGCGACTCTAGTTCCTAATTCAAGGAAAAGTCTTAGCAATCTCTATTAACTGCACTTTAGGGGAGGAATGGTAGGAGGCCACTCAACTAAATATATATCTTCAGCCTCTTGCATGTATGTGCTCTTTTGCTGGATTGAACCTGTAACAGCAGATCTTAGCCTGCCTAACTGTACAGGTTTGCTGCCAGCAACTGTTGCCTCCCCACCCAATGCCCCACAACACAACTTCTGATCATTCAGGCCTCCAGCTGTTCTCTTCAGCGCAGCTGTTTTTCAGCTCTGATTCTTAAGAGGCTCCAACACATTAATCATTTTTCTGTGTGAGGAAAAAATGGATCAAAGGTTTCCATCCCTCCTGTTTTGTATTCCTAGTATTAGTCCGTGGGTCTTCCAGAAATTCAGTTTTCCAATCTCTGTTCAGATTTGCATTCTGAAACATATCGGATGATGTCTGAATTGAGATCTGAACCTAAACATGTGTGTTTGTGTGAATTTGAGGAGGGAAGCTTGCATAGACTTATGAAATCATTCCAAAGCTAATAATCATAATCATAATCATTCATTCACGTGTTCCTTCTCTTACTTCTTAGGGCCCATCCACATAGCCATATAATCCAGAATATCAAGGCAGAAAATCTCACAATATCTGCTTTGAACTGGATTGTCTGAGTCCACACGCCATATATTCCAGTTCAAAGCAGAACTTGTGAGATTTTATCCGGCTGTTTGGAAGGGGGCTCAGATGATTGCTTCATTTCCTTCTTTCCCATCCCTATCTATTCCCTTCCAAATCTGTCCTTTTCATTCTCAATATCAACTCCATTCTTTGACATTTAAAAGCAGGGGTGGAGAGCTGTGGAAGAATGAGGAGCCGCATTAGCCCTCAAGAAACATTGGAGGACTGTACCTACTACCAAAAAGCCAGTTTTGGCTCATTTCAGGTCTATATAGGAAATGAGGGGTATTCCTGGGCTTCTAGACAGCACTTTTGGAATATTTTCAGGCACAATAGGGTGGGTTTTTCTCAATATTTGGTTTTAATCCCTAAGAGTCCAGAAGGGATCCAAACATACAGAAGTTTCCTCAGAAAACCCCAAAGTTTGTTTTTGTGCCATCATTTATAAGATAGGTATGGCCGTATCCAAGGGAGTTGCAATCCTGACTTGCTTTTCTTATTTTTTATTTAGGTTACTCAGTTCTGTGATGAGAGCAACCATAACATAAAGGCCCCAAATATGCAGAACAAAATGTGCAACCACAGAAGTACCTGGGAAGTCATTATGGCCTCAGCAGACTTTGCCAGTTCATCTCCAAGAAGTGCTCCTCCACCACGCCCCATTATCTCCTTGCTACAAACACGGGACAGAGTTGTGTGTCTTGTGCTTGATATTTCTGGGAGTATGAATGGGGTAAGCCCATCCTTCCCTCCACTTCTAGAAGACATATTTCTGTAAGGTTAGATGTTTGCACAATGCTAGAATTAAGCTAAGCAAAGCAACAAGAGTCAATGTTCTGTAATTCCACTGGATCAATTGAAACTGTTCTAGTGGTGGATACTGCTGATGTGGACACGCAGGCTTTCTTGATCCCTGCCCATCTTGACTGGCATGTCAAGATGGGCATGTATCTCCCAGGGAAGGGAATTTTTCATCCTGCTTAGCATAGCATGTCTCCTTTGAATGAATGAATGAATGAATGAATGAATGAATGAATGAATGAATGAATGCCTGGAGGTGGTAATGGACTTGATGAAGGAAAACAAAGTGGAACTGAATCAAGCTAAGACAGAGGTGCTTGCCATTAAGGTATTTACCTAGGGTTGAAGGTTCTGCTTTCATTTCTCCTAAAGGACTTGGGAGTGCTCCTGGATCCATCTCTCCAAATGTCAGCCCAGGTAGATGCAGTGATCAGGAGTATTTACTAGTTACTGCTGATATGCCAGATGCACCCCTTCCAAGAATCAAGCAACTTAAAGAAGGCAGTGTGTATGCGAGTAACCCCAAGATTGGACTTCTGCAATGTGATTACGTTGGGCTACCTCTGTAACAAGTTTGGAAATGTCAGTTAGTTCAAAACATGGCAGCCAGATTAGATACAGGAAGTGAGAATATTACCTATACTAAAGCTACTCCACTGGTTGCCAATTAGGTTCTGGACAAAGTACAAAGTGTTGGTTTTGATCTTTAAAGCCCTACATGATTGGACCCAGGTTACTTACAGGATCACTTTCTGTACAATCTGCCCCAAACACCGAGGTCCTCTGATGGGTGGCTGTTCCATACAGTCAGAACCCAACTGGCGATCATCTTTCAGAAGACTTTTTCATCCGCTGCTCCAGACTATGGAATGACTTGCTGGAAGAGATCTAATAGCTAAATGAGCTGTAGGGATTTAATGCACATTTGAAGACCTACATCTTCCGGGAGGTCTACCCAGTCAGTTTTTAACTATAAATTTTCAATTCGCATTCTATTTGTCTATGGCATTTTAATCTTTGTCCCATGTATTTTAATATGTGCATTTTATAGAACTATGTTTTAATATGTGCTTTTATTGAATATATTTTATTTTGGTGATTATTTTAACTGTGTTGTGCCTTGCCTCGACCCAAAAGGAGAGACTGAACAGGCTCAGCAAATCAGGGGTGGGGATGGTGGGGGGTGCATCTAATATATTTTTACATTTCTTTCCTAGTGAGCTCTGGTTTCTCTTCAGATCATATAAATCTTTCATCTTTTACTGAGGATTTCTTTGGAGTAAGCCCTGTTTTTTCCTTCCCCCCCCCCCTTTCTTGTACAGTTTGATCGCATTAATCGAATGAAGCAAGCTGCAGAACTGTTCCTCCTACAGATTATTGAAACAGGTTCCTGGGCTGGAATTGTTTTATTCAATAGTGAAGCATTTACAAAGACATTTTTGCAACAGATTACTGGTGATAGTGTCCGCCAAACCCTTTCAGCTTATCTGCCAACTGAAGCACGTGGAGGAACCAACATATGTTCTGGAATACGTGAGGGATTTCAGGTGAAGAACGTTCTCCAAATACCTTTATCCTTATGGGGTTTTTTTACATGTATCTATTTATCCAATTGTTTTTGCAGTCCACTGTTTGAAAATATAAATTAGTTTGCATGTATATACCTTTTGGGGAAAGGGATGATAATTGGAAGAAGACTATCCCAGCTCTATTTCTATTAACGTCAACAGTCAAATTACCCAACTTGTAAGAGTGGATGAAAGGTGCAGTTACCAGAGACTGCCACTTGATGGCAGCAGTAGAAAGGGGGTTCTCGGCTCAGAATTGATGTTGATATACTAGGGCCCTTCCAGACAGGCCCTATATCCAAGGATCTGATTCCAGGTTTTCTGTTTATCCCAGATTATCTTGAAGTGCAGACTCATATAATCCAGTTTAAAGCAGAAAACCTCGGCAGCCAGATTAATAACTGGGGTGACCTACAGGGAGCAGTCAACCCCCCCTGTTTAAGGAGCTTCACTGGCTGCCATTTATTTTCCAGTCCCAATTCAAGGTGCAGGTTATCACCTATAAATCCCTAAATGATTTGGGATCCGCCTACCTTTGTGACTGTATCTCCCGCCATGAACCATCTCGGGCCCTCCGATCTTCTGGGGAGACTCTTCTCTTACCCCTGGCAGTTTATCAAGTTCGCCTAGTGAGTACAAGGGAGAGTTCCTTTTCCGAGGTGGCTCCCTGACTCTGGAACTCACTGCTTGGAGAAATCAGGAAAGTCTTCAAAAAGAACCTTAAAACCTGGCTCTTTCGCTACGTCTTTGATGAGGAGGTATATAATCCCACATGATTACTCGACCTCAAAGCTTTGTCATTGGAGTATACGTTCCCTCCCCCTCATGGGAAAACTCCTGCTAAAATAATATTGCCAGGAAGGAAGTTCCATAAGCAGGGGGCAATCATTAAGAAGGTCCTGTTTCTTGTCCCCGCCAAACACGCTTGTGATGGTGGCGGGACTGAGAGCAGGGCCTCCCCAGAAGATCTTAGTTTCTACAGTGGTTCGTAAAGGGAGATGCGTTTGAACAGGTAAACTGGGCCGGGCCTTTTAGGGCTTTATAGACCAAAGCCAGTACTTTGAATTGTGCTCGGTAGCAAACAGGCAGCCAGTGGAGCTGACGCAACATGGGAGTTGTGTGCTCCCTGTATGCTGTCCCAGTTATTAGCCTGGCTGCCTCTCACACCACTCTATTCTGCCATATTTATTTATTATTTATTTATTTACTGTATTTCTCAGCCTATCGGCTACTCAAAGTGGTTTCCAACAAAACAGTATACACAGTATCATAGAGCAATTTAAAAACATTACAATTACATAAACCACAACAGCAATAAAAACAACATCATTAGCGTCTCCTTATTCTCAAGCATTGTCCAGTTCCATTGGCAATCGTCCATTTCCTATATCATTTATCCATATCCGTTACTCTGTGTTTGAGAACGCTTGCTCAAACAGCTATGTTTTGACTTGCTTCCGAAATGTAAGGAGGGAGGGAGCAGATCTAATCTCTCTAGGGAGGGCGTTCCATAGCCAGGGGGCCACCGCTGAGAAGGCCCTTTCTCTTGTCCCCGCCAAACGTACTTGAGACGAAGGCGGGACCGAGAGCAGCGCCTCCCTGGACGATCTCAAGGTCCTTGTTGGTTCTGTTTGAAAATCTATACCAGCCATTCTCAGTAGAGTAGCTGATGGTTGATGCTGTCTATCATGCAGTGACACATTTTCCCTTTAATAATGTAATTAACACATCCCCCCCCCCTGCATTTATGGTGCAATCACTGACTCCTGTATCCTTCCTCTCACTTCATGATCCATAATAGCAATAATAACACCATGATGACATAACTGAGCCCCGTTCACATCACATGCATTGGTTCCCAATGTATCATTCAGGGAAAATAATAGTTTGATAAATCCACAGAACTGATACAGGAAAAGGCAGGAATTGTGTATTAAAAGTTTTTAATGACTCTGCAATTCAAAAATGTCTGGAGAGCAATGACTGAGGACCCTTCTACACAGCCATATAACCCAGAATATCAAGTCAAATAATCCACAATATCTGCTTTGCACTGGATTATATGAATCCACACTGCCATAAAATCCAGTTCAATGTGGATTTTCACAGCTGTGTGGAAGGGGCCTGAGACAAAAGTGGGACTAACACATCACTAGGGGCCCTTCCACACAGCCCTATATCCCAAAATATCAAGGTAGAATATCCCACAATATCTGCTTTGAACTGGGTTATTTGAGTCCATACTCAGATAATGTGGGATTTTCTGCCTTGATATTCTGGAATAGAGGACTGTGTGGAAGGGCCCTAAGATGCTAAAATGCCATGGTATCATAACATCCTTTATATTTGAAATGTCAGTGCTGTTAAAGGTCTGGAATGCCAGAACAGAGTTGAAGCCAGAACATAGTTCCAAATTTGATATTCATAAAAGCAAGAAAATACTATTCCGGATTGAAAGTGGTGCTGTTGAACGCCAGATCTGTCAACGGTAAAACAACCTTCATTCAGGACATAATCCTGGATGAACGGGCAGATCTGGCGTGCATCACAGAGACCTGGCTGGACGAAGCGGGAGGTGTAAATTTAACCCAGCTTTGCCCACCAGGTTTCTCTGTGCAGCACCAACCGAGATCCGGAGGGCGGGGAGGCGGGGTTGCAGTGGTCTATAGAGATTCCATTCTTCTGACCAGGGCCCCCATCCCGCAGTCAACAAAATTTGAATGCGTCCACCTGAGGGTGGGTGACCGGGACAGATT